CCCAGGCTTGAGTGCAGTGGTATGACCATAGCTGACTATAGTCTTGAACACCTGGGCTCAATCAATCCTCCTGCCTCAGCCTCCCAAAGTGCTGGGATTACAGGTGTGAGCTACAGCACCTGGCTGCTTCGTTCCTTTTAACCCAGCAATGGTGCTAATTCAGAAATCCATGCCAAGAAAATACTCCTATGTGAAGAGAAGTTTCATACATAATAACATTTTTTGCCTATTATAATATCACAGAATTGGAAACAACCTAAACATCTAACAAGGGAAGAGGAGGGAATTATGGCATGTCAATATGATGGAATAATATGTGCTTATTAAACATGATATTAGGTACAGATGTCAAAGCTCTAAAAATACAGTAGGTGAAATAGCATTAGACCAATGAATGCATCTCCTGTGATTACACTGATATAAGAAATACACGGAAAAAACACTCAAGAAAGAAACACACCAAAATACTGCCAGCCACTATCTTTAGACCCCACACTTCTTGGGCTAGTGGAAGGACTAGCTGCCCATGTCAGCCCAAGTCAGATGGGCAGGAGCTCCCTTACCGCGACAAGATCTTTCTTGAGTACCAGAGTCATGACGTCATTGGCACACTGCGGCTGGAGCAGGGACATGAGCAGCCCTGGGCTGCAGGTGTCTTTGGGAGGAGTGGTCTGGACTGGAGCAGGTGAGGTCTGCAGCCCACCGCCTGTGGGGTACCAGGCGGACAGTCATTGAGTGTTCACTGTGCACCGGCACTAAGCTCTTCTGTGGTTAGCTACACCCAATGCCCACAAGTTGCAGATGGGAAAGTGAGGTTCAGAGAGGCTCTGCTGTGGCTCACATCTGATGTACCTAACCCAAGCACACACAGTGTAACAACTAATCCAAGGGAGGGCAGGGGAATAGAGGGGCATGGGAAGGGGGCTGGTGCTCACCACAGCTAGGAGCCCTCAGTGAGACAACACCAGCCAGAGGTAACTCCACAAAGGACGCTATGACGCTGGCGTTGAGCATCCGGGCCTCCCCTACGAGGCCTTGGGGTGTGTCTGGGAGCACGAAGCCACGGATGTTCTTCTCTGGAAAGATCTTGAAGGAGTACTCCCCAGTGGTCTAATGGCAGGGAGAGAGGCAGAGCAGGCAGCCATTGACAAGGTGAAGGGCACTGTAGGCTAGCCAGTGTCATGCCAGGTCTGCAGTCCCCTCTGCCTGGGCCCCTGCCCCTTATCTACTGGTTCCTGTTTGTCCTTCAGCTCAGCCCTGGATTCACCTCTCCAGGAACCTTCCCTGACCCTGTGGTCTGGGTTAATGGGCTCCTTAGTTGATCAGAAAAGGTGGCCCCTAGGTGAAGGTCTCGAGAAAGAACACGTGGTGCCCAGAGGAAGAGCCTGGGGCAGAAAAACCCGGATAGTCCAGGACAGGGCTGGAGTGCTGGTGTGAGAGGTAGCTTGACAGCGGAGGTTGAAGTTTGGGTTTTCGGTTTGGGGAGCTGCGCAAGACTCACCCAGATTTGCATGTTGTGGTTGGCGTCGATGAGCCAGGAAACGTAGGGTGGACCCTGCAGGATGAGGATGGCGTCCGGATCACCAGATGCGCAGCTCAGTTCCACCTTCACTGTCACCGTCCGGGGCCTATGGGGAGACAGGTGATCTCTTCAGTGTGGGCAGGAATGCTGATCCCTAACCGAGTGGGCAAGGGCTGCACTCTTACCAGGGCCAGATGTGGGTCTGTGGGACTGGGATCAGGTTGGGCCCCTCCAGGAGACGGGAGAGGGCGCTGAGCCCATACCTGGACGGGGCGGGGCTTGATACGGGCGGGGCCTGGCTGGGGGCAGGGCCAGCGTGGTCGGCGAGGGCCCTTACCTGGAGGAGGAGCTGGGCAGGACCCTCAGGATGTGCGCCTCCTTGTGGCCGGTCGCGCCTTCCAAGCGGCAGCCGCGGACCAAGGCCGGGGTCCGCGGCCGCCATTCAAGAGTGCGGCCCATGTCTCGGCGGGGTTCCGGCAGGCAGAAGGATAGCGACCTCTGGGCTGTGGAAACAAGCGCATTTCAGTCCCCTCCCCGAGCAAACAGGCACCTAACACACAGAGCCTCACCCGCAGCCAAAGATAGTGGTAGTGGGGGGAAGGCAAGATGGAGCCCCCAAAGTGAGGAGGTATCAGAGGCCCTAGGTTCAAATCTCCTCTGCCACTTACCCGCTGAGTGATCCTGTGCGTTTCCACCGGCCTCCATTTTCTCATCTGTCAACATAGGGTCAATAAATACATAAGGGCTGAGCTCATGGCACACAATCGAATGCGGCCTGCAACCCCCCCAGCCCCCACTTTAATCTTCCTTACAGCATTTACCAAGGCCTGCAATCCAATTATTTATTTTTCTGTGTGCATGTTTTTTGTTTGTTTGTTTGTTTTGAGACAGAGCCTCAAGCTGTCCCCCTGGGTAGAGTGCGGTGGCATCACAGCTCACAGCAACCTCCAACTCCTGGGCTCAAGCGAGTCTCCTGCCTCAGCCTCCCAAGTAGCTGGGACACAGGTGCCCGCCCCAACGCCTGGGGTTGCAGCCGTCATTGTTGTTTGGCAGCCGGGCTGGATTCGAACCGGCCATCTTAGGTGTATGTGGCTGGTGCCTTAGCCACTTGAGCCACAGGCGCCGAGCCGTGTGTGCATGTTTATTGTCATCTTTCTCATCACAGTGTCAGCTCCAGGAGAACAGAGCCTGGATCTGTTTGCACAGAGATCTCAAGTGCCAAGCATTTCATGTGGTTCCTTCTGATTTTTGGTGCATGTGCCCTCTCGGACCCTTAGTGCCTGAGTTTGAGGAATGGGCTGCAGGAGCTCTGATTCCTGCAGAGCTGAGCCCTGGTGCAGACACACTGCTGGGGAATCTCACCTTGGCCCAGACGGAGGAGGATGCTATGGGGGTCATCCAGCTCAGCAAGAGAGGTGATAGGGCTCTTAGCAGCTGCCCAGTCAAGGATCTGGTTCTTGGTGGTGAAAGGTGGCAGCTGTGTGGTGTTGACTCTGGGAAACTCTTGGATGGTGACCAGGTTGGGGTTCTGGGGAGACACATGGGGGCTCAGAGCACTGGTCCAGGCATCCTGTCTCTCCCATGCTGGAGGTCAGGAAGTTACTTGTGGAGTCAGCCCACTGGCTGAGCAAAAGGGGCCAGCGCTGAGAATGCCATGGCTGTTGGATCTGCAGTCATCCCAGAACCCCCCAGATGTCCCCCACTGCAGTCAGATCAGCCTCTTTTCTTTTCCACATCTGGGGGGATTGTATGAACACACAACTTTGTTCATCCACCTGTCCAAATATCACCTGTCCACCCTCCATAGCTGTATTCATTCAACCCACATATAATAACATCACGTGGCTGTTTCCCTTGTACTCTCAGAGTCTGTGAGGGACAATGTCTACCTTGCCATCCTTGCACAGTGCTTGACACATAGTAGGCACTGAGAAATATTTGTCTGACTTTGTGCTGGGCCCTGGGCCCGACATGGCATCCTGACATGCCAGTTGGCATGTGATGGGTACTCCCTGTACATAAGAAGTGAGGGAGTAAGGGAGGAAAGAAGAAATGGATGGATGAATGAATGAATGAATGACAAAGAGGCTGTTCCTCATCCTGGAAGTTCACCATTCAGAAACTAGACATGCATCAAGTCATTTGAAGCAATAGAAAACAGAGAATATAATATAATAGGGAACAAATGGGCAAGACAGGTCCCCTGGTTGGACAAGAGTAGGGAATCTGGGTAACCTCCGTGGCCAAGGCCTCAGGAGAGATGCAGGTGAGCTGGTGGGAAGAAACAGTGAAGACTTCCTGGAGGAGGTATTCTGGGGAAGCAAAGCAAAAGGATCCAGAAGCAGGCATTGGGACCACTGACTCAGTTTCCTTTGAGTTCCATGTCCAAAGCCAGGGGCATTGAGCTGAATCAAGCAGCAGCAGCATAAAGATTTCAGGCCAGACCATGATAATAGGCAAGACCTCATAGATGGGCCACCTAAAATGAAGCACCACAACTTCTCTGCAAAAATTTAACAAGGGGACAAAGTGATGAGCACCTTGGGCAAGGAACCCAGACCCCAGAGTGGGAAGGTTGGGACAGTGATTTAGAGCTCTCTGTGTTTGGGGGGTGGGGGGATAGATCTGTCCTCTAAATCCTTGTCTGAAAACAGAGATAGGAGGGATTAAAGCATAGGATGATAGTCGCCTGGCACTGAGTCTGACACTGAGGTCCACGGTGTGCCTGGCCTCTGCCTCTGTCCCTCACTGGTCTCCAGATCCACAGCCCCCCTCCACGAGTATTCTTAGTCTGGGTGGAAGGCGTGGTTAGGCTGGAGCCAGCAGCTACTGAGACCTTCCTGCTGGCGGGTGTGTTTCATGTTCCTGCGTCACCCTGGGCTCTACTAGACTCAGATCCCGTTGGCGGAAGCGTGAGAAGAAAGAGGGGGAGAGGCGGTGAGGGGTTCTTTCCAGTCCTCCCTGAGACCTCAATTTCCCCTCTGGGTATCAAGGGTTGGGCCATATGGGGCCCAGCTTGGCTCCCCTGTTGGATTTGTCTCCTTCCTTCCCTCCCGGGGGCTTTCCATGTTGGCTTGGCCACCTCCGTCTGTCTCTGTGCTGTCCCTGCCAGCAGTCTGGATGCTTCACCCCTACTCCTCACTCCCGACTTTTCTCTCTGTCTCCTGTCTCCGTGGCTCTGAGATGGCCTCTCCATTGTGTGCCTGTGCCTCCCACACAGGCTGCTCTTTTTTGGTTTCTGTTTCTTTCTGTGTCTTCCTCTCTGTCCTTGTTTTTGCTCCCCCCCTGCTCCCCGCCCTGGACTTTCTCTGCTGTAAACAACAGCTGCTCACATCTGGGAGCCACCTCCCAAGGCCCCCTCCAGCCCGTGAGCTGCAACCCTCGCTGTGGCTCCCAGCCAGCTAAGCTCCTCTCTCTGGTGGATGTGTCTTGACCCTTAAAATTTGAGCTTTTTAAAAAACTTATTCTCCAAAGTAGGCCAAGTCAATTACAGCACCTCTCGCAAATTCAACAAAGTGTAAAGAACAAAATAAACGTCTCTCCCAACCTCACTTCCTAGCCGTAACCACTGTTAACACGTTGTTAGGTTTCCTCCTAGCCCCTTTCCTCTGCATGTAAATATTCAAATATATGTCTTTGTGAACAGCGAAAAGATTATTTTATGGAATATGATTGAGTCTAACTATCCCACGGACACATGGGTAAACTGAGGCTATGTGAAGGACGAGAGTTGGCTGGGATTGCACATCAACCTGATTCCCACCTCTGAGTCTGGACCCTACTCTAGGTCCTGCGGCCCACTGGGTTGTCTTTGTCAGGACCCACTGGATTCAGCAGGCAGGGACCTGGTGAATAATGTCAGAATGAACAGGAGATGCAGGGTTTGGTCCCTAGGATGGGAGAACCTGGACCACAGGATGGACACCACGGACCTCCCATGGCCAGTGCCTCAGCCTGGAATTGGAGGTAACACACTCACAAAGGCCAAGTGAAGTGGGATGCCCAGGGCCTGGAGTTGCAAGAAGACATTCTTGTTTACGCTGAGGACCAGAAGCACCTCTTGGGGCTGAGTGCCATTTTGCTTGGATGCCTGGAGAGTCAGCTCCACTTGTGACACCTCCTGCAGGGAGCAGAGAGCAGAGAGACACACACAGACCAGTCAGACCTGCACAGACTTGCATGGGCTCCTGTACAAGGCATCCCTAATTGGGTGGTGCCTTGTTTACTGATGACTTCTACTGCACTCTCCCTGGCTGGTTCTCCCTCGCCTTTCAGTGCCAGAGCAGTGCCTGGCCCTGAGGACATGCTCAGAAAATATCTGCTGATGAACGAATAAATTCCAGAAAATCCAAAGAGAGGAAAAAATCAGGATGAGCCTGAACTTTATCCAGCAATCAATCAAGGTTTATCATTTCTACTGAGCACTTGCTGTGTACTGGGCCTTAAAGTGAGCCACATGTGTGGAGACAGTGATCCCTCATTGCCCCCACTCCCTCCCTGGCTGTCCCTGGGTGACAACTCTGATTCCAGTCTATATGAGACATTCACAACTGCTCTCCCAGTTTGCAGTATTCCTGTTTGCCTAACTATTTTAAAGTATTAAAATAGTACTTTTAGGGCAGGGTTGGTATAATAGCATTATTTTGATAGAAGAATGTGGGGTTGAAATCACGTATGTCTTGAGTTGTACCCACTGCATTAAAAAATTATATATATATAGAGAGAGAGACAGAGGGGTTAGAGTGCTATGAATTCAGCCTAGCTCATAGCAATCTCAAACTCCTGGACTCAAGTGATCTTCCTGCCTCTGCCTCTGGAGTAGCTGGGATTATAGGTGCCCACTACAGCACCAGACTAATTTTTCTAATTTTTTTTTTTTCCAACAAGAGATAGGGTCTTGCTTTGTCCCGGCTGGTCCCAAATTCCTAAGCTCAGGAGATTCTCCTACCTTGGCCTCCCAAAGTGCTAAGATTACAGGCATGAGCCATTGTGCTTAGCCTAAAGTTTTAAAGTGACCAATGGTATATGCATTTAGAATGTTTTCATAACATTACCACCACCTAACACTTACATAGGTCCTTCTATGTGTCACAACTATTCTAAATGCTTTACATATCAACTCATTTAATCCTTGCAACAACTCTAAGAGGCAGGTACCATTCTTCATCTTACCTACTGATGAGGGAACCAAGACACAGAGAAGTGAAGTCATTTGTCCATGATGGCACAGTGAGTGAGTTTGGGGCTGGGATTTGAACCTGGGCAGGCCTCTGCTCCCAACCACCATACTGCCCTTGAACATTTTAAATACACCTATTACCCAAAGAAAAAGAATACAGCAATCCATGAGGCAAAGAGTCTATGGAAAGAATGACCTCTGCTCTGCTCAAAGACTTTCCCAACCAGTGGTATGTGAACAGGTGAGTCCTGAGACTAAAACTGGTTTAACTAAAGACCAAACTGAGACTAAAACTCATTTACCACTGGAGTGGTAAACGCCCCACCACCAACTGACAAGGCCAAAACCAAATGGAGACATGTCACTGAAACACAGATTCCAGCTGCTTTCAAACAAAATCTGGCAGTCTCAAAGACGACCCAAAACGTGTCTCAGAGCTATGAAAAAGGAGGCTAATATTTCACAGTGACAATACCAGTGGAAAGTTTGGAGATTTAGCTTCTAATCATCTCCTTGCCATTTCCCCAACTGATGTCACAAAGCCAGAGACAGCACTGCATTCGCTGGAAAAATCTGCCCAGAAATCTTTCCACTACTCATAATGACACCATAATCACTCTTTGTTTGTAAGTTTGCTTTTAAAACAAAAAAGAGCAAATACTATTATTTGACTTTCAGTATTTCACAGATAATTTTTTTTTCATTTTAGTGTATTACTTAAGTTGGCTATTTTAAAATTATTTCTATGTCTATTTATAGTTGACAAATAAGATACATTTCAAATTTGTGTTTGGGTAAGTACACAAGTTTGATTAATGGTTTTTTGTTTTGTTTTCTTTTTGAGACAGAGTCTCACTATGTCACCCTGGGTAGAGTGCCATGGCATCACACTCACAGCATCACAGCTCTTATATCTGCCTCCCAAATAGCTGGGACCACAGGTGCCCACCACAACACCCAACTATTTTTTTGTTGCAGTTGTTTAGCTGGCCCAGGCTGGGTTTGAACCCAAGACCCTCGGTGCATGTGGCTGGCACCATAACCACTGTGCTATGGGTGCCGAGCCTTGATTAATGTTTTGTAATGGGCTTATAAGTTTTGGTTTTACAAATATCTTGTTTTATGAGTCTTTTTTTGTTTTGTTTTGTTTCATGAGTCTTTAAAAATATTATGTGCCGGCTCGGCACCTGTGGCTCAATCGGCTAAGGCGCCAGCCACATACACCTAAGGTGGCGGGTTCGAATCCCCAGCCCGGGCCTGCCAAACAACAATGATGGCTGCAACCAAAAAAAATGGCCGGGCATTGTGGCGGGCGCCTGTGGTCCCAGCTACCTGGGAGGCTGAGGCAGGAGACTCGCTTGAGCCCAGGAGTTAGAAGTTGCTGTGAGCGTGATGCCATGGCACTCTACCCAGGGGGATAGCTTGAGGCTCCGTCTCAAAAAAAAAAAAATATTATGTGCCAGGCATGGTGGCTCATGCCTATAATTCTAGCACTCTTTGAGGCTGAGGTGCATGGATTGCTTGAGCTCAGGAGTTTGAGACCACCCTGAGGAAGAGCAAAACCCCATTTCTACTAATAATTGAAAAAAAAAACCTAGCTGGGTATGTGGCTGGTGCCTGTAGTCTCAGCTACTTGGGAGGCTGAGGCAAGAGGATTGCTTGAGCCCAAGAGTTTGAGGTTGCTGTGAGTTATCATGATACCATGGCACTCTATCCAGGGCATGGAGTGAGATTCTGTCTCAAAAAAAAAAAGAATTATGTTTTGAAAACTAAAAATATTGGCTTGGTGCCCATATTACAGTGGTTACAGTGCCAGCCACATACACCAAGGCCAGCGGGTTCGAACCTGGCCCAGGCCAGCTAAATAATGACAACTGCAACAAAAAATAGCTGGGCGTTGTGGCCGGTGCCTGTAATCCCAGCTACTTGGGAGGCTGAGGCAAGAGAATTGTTTGAGGTTGCTGTGAGGTGTGACTCCACGGCATTCTACCGAGGGGAACAGCGAGATGCTGCCTCCAAAAAAAATAAAAATAAAAATAAACAAAATAAAAATATTATGCATTCTAAACTTTAAAAATTAAATAGTAGTTTGTGGTTTGCATAAACTGGCTAGAAAAAAATTAAATGCTGGATATAATGCTATGCTTTGATAAAATGCCATGTTTTGACAAAATAATGTAATACATATCTAAATGTCAGAACTGACATTTTGTTCTGGGATTCTGATCATTCCTGGAAATTCACTGGAGTAAAGCAAGACCCACCTCACTGGTGACGAGAAAGGCATCATTGGCAACCGACCTGCCCAGCCTCGTTGCCCTGATTGCGTGTGTGTTGTTAGCTCAAACAATCAAGTATGATTGCACAACTCTGTATGTACTAAAATCACTTAGCTTTACACTTTAAATGGGTGAATTTTATCTCAAAAAATCTGTTAATAAAAACAATTGACTATCAGTTGAACTACTGAATTATTGCAAAGCAGTTTCTCACGGTTCCACCTAATGGAAGCCTGGCCCTGTGTGGGCCTGTTGCCTGTGCTACCTGACCCAAGCAGGGACAGGCATTCATTCTCTCTTTTGTAGATGCAGACATAGAGGCTATGTCTCCCACATGCCGAGGGAACTGCAGTGAGTGGCAATGTCAGCAGGCCAGTGCACATCCCCTGGTGCCAGTGGAACTCACAGTCCCTTGGACCTCTGGGCAGCTCACTGGAACCACGTCCTCTCTCTCTACTGCACCTCTCTCCTAGACTGTCATGGTTTGTCAATGTTCAACCCCATCTCTTTGTCCCCAGCTGGAGGAGAGAGCTGCAAGGCCCACACATAGTGAACAGATGGGTCCCTGGTTTGTCAGACTGTGACCAGGAGATGCCACAGGTTGCAGTAACATCTGCCCTTTCTCTCTTGGTGGACACCACAGGCCCAGCGCTGCAGGAGCTAGAGAGTGCAGCCCTGAGCTGGGAGTCGAGAGCCTGTGACCATCCAGGCCTGCTGCTTTGCACTGTGCATGTTCCTCAGTTTCCTCGTCTGTGAAATGGGGGTAGGATAGTATCAGGAACCCATCCTAGGTGGGACTACAGATAAAGGAAGTGAGAAAAGAGAAGTGGAGGTCAGGGCCCGGTCGTGCCCAGAGTAAGGGCATTAGAAGACTGGAAGTTCAGGACATTTGCTATGACACTCAGCTCTTCTCTTGGAGCTACCAAACCCACCACTCAGTTGTCACCAAGTCTTTCTTTGTACAGTAGGAGGTGGCAGGGGGTAGGTGATGTTCAAAGGGAGGCAGTCACCAGCCAGGGTCACACAGCAAGTGAGCAGTTTGAAAACTCAGGGAGGTTGACAGGCTGGGCACTTAGGATCTCTGAACTGCTGGGCTGAGATGAAAGCCAGTCAGTCCCAGGAAAACCCGGTCAGGGTCTCCACAGTAAACATTTCCATCCCCATGGCCCTGAGTCACCACAGTGGCTGCTCCCACACACAATGACTTCCCTCATCCCTCTTGTCCTGGGCTCATAGGCAAAGAAAGGCGCCTGCCTTGCTCCCACCTCCAGCTCCCAGTCTTCTCAATAGGATCTTGGGAATTCTGGCAGACTGGCCAGCCCCTTGCCCCCAACCCTGCCAGTCTGGGCCTGCCCCGGCCCCCTCCCTCAGCAGGTGGGCGGGAGACCGAGTTTCTATTTTTGTGCCAGTATCCCACACATGCCATTGTTGGCCCAGTGGTTGGTGGCGGGAAGGGGGGATTTCGATGAGGAGGCCCTGAGTGGTAGTAGCCACTTATAGAAAGTCGCTTCCAGCAATTCTTCTAAGAGTGGAGCCGCAGGGCTGCCTGCAGCCCCCACCCTCCTAGGGCCTGGCTAGAGGCGGCCAGATTGGAGCCAGCCATCCCCCTGTCTATCCCAGAAGACTCAGATGATACATACAGGCAGGGTGGTAGGGGAGGGG